GTGGCACAGGCACCTGCAGGCGTGGTGACACACTTGGTGGCCCTTATGGTGGCACACACAGTGGCACGGGCACCAGCAGGCGTGGTGACACTTGTGGTGGCACTTGTGGTGGCACACTTGGTGGCCCTTGTGGTGGCACACACAGTGGCACAGGCACCAGCAGGCATGGTGACACACCTAGTGACATGCTTGGTGGCACTCGTGGTGGCACACACAGTGGCCTGTGTGGTGGCACAGGCACCTGCAGGCGTGGTGACACACTTGGTGGCCCTTGTGGTGGCACACACAGTGGCACGGGCACCAGCAGGTGTGGTGACACACCTGGTGACACACCTGGTGGCACTTGTGGTGGCACACGCAGTGGCACAGGCACCAGCAGGCATGGTGACACACCTGGTGACACGCTTGGTGGCACTCGTGGTGGCACATGCAGTGGCCAGTGTGGTGGCACAGGCACCTGCAGGCGTGGTGACACACTTGGTGGCACTCACATTGGCCTATGTGGTGGCACTTTTGGTGGCACAGGTACCTACAGGCCTGGTGACACACTTAGTGACACGCTTGGTGGCACTCATGGTGGCCCTTGTCGTGGCCCATGTGGTGGCACAGGCACCTGCAGGTGTGGTGACACACTTGGTGGCCCTTATGGTGGCACACACGGTGGCACAGGTACCAGCAGGCCTGGTGACACACCTGGTGGCACTTGTGGTGGCACAGGCACCAGCAGGCGTGGTGACACATGTGGTGGCACTTGTGGTGACACACTTGGTGGCCCTTGTGGTGTCCCTTGTGGTGGCAGAGGTACCCACAGGTGCCTGCAGGTGTGATGACACACGTGGTGGCACTCGTGGTGGCACTCACAGTGGCACAGGTACCTACAGGCCTGGTGACACACCTAGTGACACACCTAGTGGCACTCATGGTGGCACACGCAGTGGCCCGTGTGGTGGCACAGGCACCTGCTGGTGTGGTGACACACTGGGTGGCACTTGTGGTGGCACAGGCACCTGTCGGTGTCGTGGCACACGTGGTGGCACACACGGTAGCCCATGTGCTGGCCCTTGTGGTGACACACTTGGTGGCACTCATGGTGGCCCATGTGGTGACACAGGCACCAGCAGGCGTGGTGACACGTGTGGTGGCACTTGTGGTGGCACAGACAGTGGCACACGTGGTGGCACAGGTACCTGCAGGCGTGGTGACGCGTGTGGTGGCACTCGTGGTGGCACACACGGTGGCCCATGTGCTGGCCCTTGTGGTGACACACTTGGTGGCACTTGTGGTGGCCCATGTGGTGACACAGGCACCAGCAGGCGTGGTGACACACGTGGTGGCACACTTGGTGGCACACACGGTGGCCCATGTGCTGGCCCTTGTGGTGACACGCTCGGTGGCACTCGTGGTGGCCCATGTGGTGGCACTATGACTGATCAGTGTGTGAGCAGTGTGTGAGCAGTGTGTGAGCAGTGTGTGCACTGTGATTGTGTGCAGTGAGTGTGAGCAGTGTGTGAGCAGTGTGTGAGCAGTGTGTGTGCAGTGTGTGAGCAGTGTGTGCACTGTGATTGTGTGCAGTGAGTGTGAGCAGTGTGTGAGCAGTGTGTGCGTACTATGACTGTGAGCAGCGTGTGTGCACTATGATTGTGAGCAGTGTGTGCGCAGTGAGTGTGCACAGTGTGTGCAGTGCAGGGAGCATGTAGTGAGTGTGAGCAGTGAGTGTGCACAGCGAGCAGTGTGTAAGCAGTGTCTGTGCAGTGTGTGAGCAGTGTGTGTGCAGTGAGTGTGAGCAGTGTGTGCAGTGTGTGTGCACTATGATTGTGAGCAGGGTGTGTGCAGTGAGTATGAGCAGTGTGATCAGTGTGTGTGCACTGTGTGCAGTGTGAGCCATGTGAGCAGTGTGTGTGCACTATGATTGTGATCAGTGTGCAGTGTGTGTGCTGTGTGTGAGCAGTGTGTGCAGTGTCTGTGCACTATGTGATCAGTGTGTGTGCAGTGAGTGCAAGCGGTGTGTGCAGTGTGTGTGCACAATGATTGTGATCAGTGTGTGTGCAGTTTGAGCAGTGTGTGAGCAGCGTGTGTGCACTATGATTGTGATCAATGTGTGTGCAGTGTGTGCGCACTATGATCAGTGTGTAAGCAGTGTCTGTGCACTATGATTGTGAACAGTGTGTGTGCAGTTTGAGCACTGTGAGCAGCATGTGTGCACTATGATTGTGATCAGGGTGTGTGCAGTGTGGGACCAGTGTATGCACTGTGATTGTGATCCGTGTGAGCAGTGTATGCAGTGTGTGCACACTATGATTGTGTGCAGTGAGTGTGAGCAGTGTCTCTGCAGTGCGTGTGCACTATGATTTTGATCAGTGTGTGTGCACTGAGTGTCAGCAGTGTGAGCAGTGTGTGAGCAGCGTGTGTGCACTATGATTGTGATCAATGTGTGAGCAGTGTGTGCGCACTATGACTGAGCAGTGTGTGAGCAGTGTTTGTGCACTATGATTGTGATCAGCATGTGCGCAGTGTGGGAGCAGCATATGTGCACTGTGATTGTGATCAGTGTGTGTGCAGTGAGTGTGAGCAGTGTGAGCAGCGTGTGTGCACTGTGATTGTGATCAGTGTGTGTGCAGTGAGTGTGAGCAGTGTGAGCAGCGTGTGTGCACTGTGATTGTGATCAGTGTGTGTGCAGTGAGTGTGAGCAGTGTGAGCAGCGTGTGTGCACTGTGATTGTGATCAGTGTGTGTGCAGTGAGTGTGAGCAGTGTGAGCAGCGTGTGTGCACTGTGATTGTGATCAGTGTGTGTGCAGTGAGTGTGAGCAGTGTGAGCAGCGTGTGTGCACTGTGATTGTGATCAGTGTGTGTGCAGTGAGTGTGAGCAGTGTGAGCAGCGTGTGTGCACTGTGATTGTGATCAGTGTGTGTGCAGTGAGTGTGAGCAGTGTGAGCAGCGTGAGCAGCGTGTGTGCACTGTGATTGTGATCAACATGTGCGCAGTGTGGGAGCAGTGTGTGCACACTATGACTGTGAGCAGTGTGTGCGCAGTGAATGCGAGCAGCGTGAGCAGCGTGTGTGCACTATGTGTGCAGTGAGTGTGAGCAGTGTGTGTGCACTATAACTGTGAGCAGTGTGTGCAGTGAGTGTGAGCAGTGTGATCAGTGTGTGTGCACTATGACTGTGATCAGTGTGTGTGCAGTGAGTGTGAGCAGTGTGTGTGCACTGTGGTTGTGATCAGTGTGCAGTGAATGCGAGCAGCGTGAGCAGCGTGTGTGCACTATGACTGATCAGTGTGTGTGCAGTGAGTGTGAGCAGTGTCTGTGCAGTGTGTGTGCACTATGATTGTGATCAGCGTGTGCGCAGTGTGGGAGCAGTGTGTGCACACTATGACTGTGAGCAGTGTGTGCGCAGTGAATGCGAGCAGCGTGAGCAGCGTGTGTGCACTATGTGTGCAGTGAGTGTGAGCAGTGTGTGTGCACTATAACTGTGAGCAGTGTGTGCAGTGAGTGTGAGCAGTGTGATCAGTGTGTGTGCACTATGACTGTGATCAGTGTGTGTGCAGTGAGTGTGAGCAGCATGAGCAGTGTGTGTGCACTATGTGCAGTGAGTGTGAGCAGTGTGTGTGCAGTGTGTGTGCACTATGATTGTGAGCAGTGTGTGTGCAGTGAGTGTGAGCAGTGTGTGCGCAGTGAGTGTGAGCAGTGTGTGTGCACTGTGATTGTGAACAGTGAGTGAGCAGTGTCTGTGCAGCGTGAGCAGTGTGTGTGCACTGTGGTTGTGATCAGTGTGCAGTGAATGCGAGCAGCGTGAGCAGCGTGTGTGCACTATGACTGATCAGTGTGTGTGCAGTGAGTGTGAGCAGTGTCTGTGCAGTGTGTGTGCACTATGATTGTGATCAGCGTGTGCGCAGTGTGGGAGCAGTGTGTGCACACTATGACTGTGAGCAGTGTGTGAGCAGTGTCTGTGCAGTGTGTGCGCACTATGGCTGTGAGCAGTGTGTGCAGTGAGTGTGGGCAGCGTGAGCAGTGTGTGTGCACTATGATTGTAATCACTCTGTGAGCACTGTGTGAGCAGTGTGTGTGCACTGTGGTTGTGATCACTGTGTGTGCAGTGAGTGTGGGCAGCATGAGCAGTGTGTGTGCACTATGATTGTGATCAATGTGTGTGCAGTGTGTGCGCACTATGATCAGTGTGTAAGCAGTGTCTGTGCACTATGATTGTGAACAGTGTGTGTGCAGTTTGAGCACTGTGAGCAGCATGTGTGCACTATGATTGTGATCAGGGTGTGTGCAGTGTGGGACCAGTGTATGCACTGTGATTGTGATCCGTGTGAGCAGTGTATGCAGTGTGTGCACACTATGATTGTGTGCAGTGAGTGTGAGCAGTGTCTCTGCAGTGCGTGTGCACTATGATTTTGATCAGTGTGTGTGCACTGAGTGTCAGCAGTGTGAGCAGTGTGTGAGCAGCGTGTGTGCACTATGATTGTGATCAATGTGTGAGCAGTGTGTGCGCACTATGACTGAGCAGTGTGTGAGCAGTGTTTGTGCACTATGATTGTGATCAGCATGTGCGCAGTGTGGGAGCAGCATATGTGCACTGTGATTGTGATCAGTGTGTGTGCAGTGAGTGTGAGCAGTGTGAGCAGCGTGTGTGCACTGTGATTGTGATCAGTGTGTGTGCAGTGAGTGTGAGCAGTGTGAGCAGCGTGTGTGCACTGTGATTGTGATCAGTGTGTGTGCAGTGAGTGTGAGCAGTGTGAGCAGCGTGTGTGCACTGTGATTGTGATCAGTGTGTGTGCAGTGAGTGTGAGCAGTGTGAGCAGCGTGTGTGCACTGTGATTGTGATCAGTGTGTGTGCAGTGAGTGTGAGCAGTGTGAGCAGCGTGTGTGCACTGTGATTGTGATCAGTGTGTGTGCAGTGAGTGTGAGCAGTGTGAGCAGCGTGTGTGCACTGTGATTGTGATCAGTGTGTGTGCAGTGAGTGTGAGCAGTGTGAGCAGCGTGTGTGCACTGTGATTGTGATCAGTGTGTGTGCAGTGAGTGTGAGCAGTGTGAGCAGCGTGTGTGCACTGTGATTGTGATCAACATGTGCGCAGTGTGGGAGCAGTGTGTGCACACTATGACTGTGAGCAGTGTGTGAGCAGTGTGTGCACTGTGTGTGCAGTGTGAGCAGTGTGTGAGCAGTGTGTGCAGTGTGTGTGCACTATGATTGTGTGCAGTGAGTGTGAGCAGTGTCTGTGCAGGGTGTGTGCACTATGATTGTGATCAGTGTGTGTGCAGTGAGTGTGTGCAGTGTCTGTGCAGTGTGTGCGCACTATGGCTGTGAGCAGTGTGTGCAGTGAGTGTGGGCAGCATGAGCAGTGTGTGTGCACTATGATTGTAATCACTCTGTGAGCACTGTGTGAGCAGTGTGTGTGCACTGTGGTTGTGATCACTGTGTGTGCAGTGAGTGAGCAGCACGTGTGCACTGTGATTGTGTGCAGTGAGTGTGCAGTGAGGGTGCAGTGTCTGTGCAATGTGTGCGCACTATGGCTGTGAGCAGTGTGTGAGCAGTGTCTGTGCAGTGTGTGAGCAGTGTGTGTGCACTATGACTGTGAGCAGTGTGTGTGCAGTGTCTGTGCAATGTGTGCGCACTATGGCTGTGAGCAGTGTGTGAGCAGTGTCTGTGCAGTGTGTGAGCAGTGTGTGTGCACTATGACTGTGAGCAGTGTGTGTGCAGTGTCTGTGCAATGTGTGCGCACTATGGCTGTGAGCAGTGTGTGAGCAGTGTCTGTGCAGTGTGTGAGCAGTGTGTGTGCACTATGACTGTGAGCAGTGTGTGTGCAGTGTCTGTGCAGTGTGTGTGCACTATGATTGTGATCAGGGTGTGTGCAGTGAGTGCGAGCAGTGTGTGCAGTGTGTGTGCACACTATGATTGTGATCAATGTGTGAGCAGCGTGTGTGCACTATGATTGTGATCAATGTGTGAGCAGTGTGTGTGCACTATGATTGTGATCAGGGTGTGTGCAGTGAGTGTGAGCAGCATGAGCAGTGTGTGTGCACTGTGTGCAGTGAGTGTGAGCAGTGTGTGTGCAGTGTGTGAGCAGTGTGTGCACACTATGATTGTGAGCAGTGTGTGTGCAGTGAGTGTGAGCAGTGTGTGAGCAGCGTGAGCAGCATGTGTGCACTATGATTGTGATCAGTGTGTGCAGTGAGTGCAAGCAGTGTGTGCAGTGTGTGCGCACTATGTGTGCAGTGAGTGTGAGCAGCGTGTGTGCACTATGATTGTGATCAATGTGTGAGCAGTGTGTGTGCACTATGATTGTGAGCAGGGTGTGTGCAGTGAGTGTGAGCAGTGTGTGAGCAGTGTCTGTGCAGCGTGTGTGCACTATGATTGTGAGCAGTGTGATCAGTGTGTGAGCAGTGTGTGAGCAGTGTGTGTGCACTGTGATTGTGATCAGGGTGTGTGCAGTGAGTGTGAGCAGCATGAGCAGTGTGTGTGCACTATGTGTGCAGTGAGTGTGAGCAGTGTGTGTGCACTATGATTGTGATCAATGTGTGAGCAGTGCGTGCACAATGATTGTGATCAGCGTGCAGTGAGTGTGAGCAGCGCGTGTGCACTCCGATTGTGCCCCCAGCGAGTGTGAGCAGCGCCTCCCCC